TATTGGAGACCATGCAGCAACTGGTTGCTCAAAACCAACAGTTACTGCAACTCATACTTGCTGGCCAAGGAGGAGCACCACACGGAGGTGTACAACATGGAGGACCCCAAGGAGGAGCACCACATGGAGGTGCACAACATGGAGGACCCCAACGTGGAGCACCACATGGAGGTGCACAACATGGAGGGCCCCACAGAGGTGCACAACATAGAGCACCACAAGGAGCTCCACATCCTGGGCATCAAGGAGCACCACGCCCTGTTGCTCCACGCCCGGGTGCCCCATTGGGCACCCCACTTCAGGAAGCCCAACATGAGAGAGCTGCACCTCCCCCTCCCTTTGCTTTCCAGGAAGAGGACCCTTATCTCCAGGAGGATGAGGGTGAAAACCAAAGCATGGGGCATGGAAGCCACTTCTATGATCATTCCAGAGGAGCCCCCAATCATTGGGACGAGAAAATAAAGGAGGTACAAAATCAACTCGGTGATGTCTTCAACGCCATGAAGGCCCAGGGACCCGAGACTGTTGACCACCTGGTAAGGCGTACTGATACCCCTTTCAAATCTGATGTAGCGAACTACCCCCTCCCTCAGAAGTTCAAGATGCCATCTGTGGAGACCTTTGATGGAACAAAGGATCCACTGGACCACCTCGACACTTACAAGACCTTGATGCAATTGCACAACGTACCAGACGAAATCATGTGCAGGGCATTCCCAACCACATTAAAGGGGTCTGCCCGACAGTGGTTTGCTAAGCTCTCCCCCACCTCTATTGCCTCTTTCGCCGAGCTTAGCAGATCATTCGTCTCACACTTCATAGGAGGGCGTCGCCACCAGAAGCCAGTTACGCACCTGCTTAGTATAAAGCAGGACCGCAAGGAGAGCCTGAGGAGTTACCTCACTCGTTTTAACGAGGAGGTACTCCAAGTTGATGAACCCGACGACAAGGTGACGATGACCGCCTTCTTGGGTGGCCTCCGTTCATCAAGTTTCCTTTTCTCAGTTCTGAAGCGCCCACCGAAGACCATGCCAGAACTATTCATAAAAGCTCAAAGATATATGAATGCTGAGGAAATCAACAAGTTTAGGCAAGGTGGATCATCTCATAGATCACCAGAAACTTGACCTGCCTCTGCACTGTTCTCAAACAGGCAGCCTATCTCCAGCTTAACGGCTCTCTCAAGGGTCGCCAAAAAAAAAAAAAAAAAAAAAAAAAAAAAAACTTAGCCTCTGTACTGTTCTCAAACAGGCAGCCTATCTCCAGTTTAGCGGCTCTCTCACGGGTCGCCAAAAAACTTGGCCTCTGCACTGTTCTCAAACAGGCAGCCTATCTCCAGTTTAGCGGTTCTCTCACGGATCGCCAAAAAACTTGGCCTCTGCACTGTTTTCAAACAGGCAGCCTATCTCCAGTTTAGCGGTTCTCTCACGGATCGCCAAAAAACTTGGCCTCTGCACTGTTCTCAAACATGCAGCCTATCTCCAGTTTAGCGGTTCTCTCACGGATCGCCAAAAAACTTGGCCTCTGCACTGTTCTCAAACAGGCAGCCTATCTCCAGTTTAGCGGTTCTCTCACGGATCGCCAAAAAACTTGGCCTCTGCACTGTTCTCAAACAGGCAGCCTATCTCCAGTTTAGCGGTTCTCTCACGGATCGCCAAAAACTTGGCCTCTGCACTGTTTTCAAACAGGCAGCCTATCTCCAGTTTAGCGGTTCTCTCATGGATCGGCAAAAAAAAAAAAATAAATAAAAAAATAAATAAAAAAATAAAACTTGGCCTCTGCACTGTTCTCAAACAGGAAGCTTATACCTCAAGCTTAAAGACTCCCTCATGGGTCGCCAAAAGCTAAGTCTCAAAAAGTGTAGCTCCCTCACGAGCAGTTCGTCAACTCTGTCTTTGCTCTCGCGCAAGCAGCCTACTTCTCTCTCTCTCCAAGTAATTATGTGAGATATTTTAATGTTTGGAATAACATTATTTTTTTCATCACAAGTAGGTTCTCCCGAGGCAGCCCTAGGCTCACCCAAGGCGCCCAGCACCTGGAGAAGGGCTTGATCATCAAAAGCAGCACCCAAAGGTTCCTTACTACTTGCAATGTCTAGCCCAATGCCTAGAAGTGTGCCTGACTGCTGTTGCTCGTCAAAACAAAGTTGCCCAGTAGCTTGAAGGCTGTTTGGCCCTTCAAAATTGCGCAAAGCAGAATTTTCGGCGTAAAAATCAGCACCTAAGACGCCCAAATCAGCACCTCGAATGAGAATCGGATCAGCCCGTGCTCCCAGGCCACTGCCTAGCTCTCCCTGACAAACCTTGGACTGATTTTCAGCGCCCCCCGTTGGAAAAATGCTGCTGCCCAGCGTTCTAAAGCTGCCCAGCGCAGCAGATTTGAAGCTGTCCGGGACAGCAGAAGCAGCAGCTAGGCCGCTGCCCAGCGCACCTGGGCTGTCCAGGACAGCAAGCCCAGCACCCAGGCAGCTGCCCAGCGCCCCTGGGCTGTCCAAGACAGGAGGAGCAGCCCCTAGGCAGCTGCCCAGGCCCCCATCGCGCGCGCGCTGCCCAGCTGCGCGCCCGCGCGCGCGCGCGCGCTGCCCAGCTGCGCGCCCGCGCGCGCGCGCGCACTGCCCAGCGCCGCGTCCGCGCGCGCGCGCGCGCGCGCGCTGCCCAGCGCCGCGCCCGCGCGCGCGCGCGCGCGCACCGCCCAGCTGCGCGCCCGCGCTGCGCAGCTGCGCGCCCGCGCTGCGCAGCTGCGCGCCCGCGCTGCGCAGCCGCGTGCCAGCGCTGCCCAGCCGCGCGCCTGCGCCGCCCAATCGCGCACCCAGCCGTCTCCCTTTCTTCAACCTCCACCACTCCCTCTTCAAAATAAAATGGGAAAGATTTGAATTTAAAAAAAAAAAAAAAAAAAATGTAATCAATGCCTCCTTCTCCAAGTCTCCTTGGACATGGGGCATCGGGGGGCAAATGATGGGTTAAGCCCAAATAGTCCAATTTATGTATTAAAGCCCAACCCCGGTTGAGGAGCCCAACCTCATCGTGAACCCACCAAGTCCAAGACAGACCAAGGCCGGCTAGACTTCTTGCTTAGCACGTCACCAAGAGGAGAGCACGGGAAGTTTATCTACACCGCCTTAGGGAGCCCAAGGCCGGTTGGACTTCTTGCTTAGCACGTCACCAAGAGGCCAAGGCCGGCTAGACTTCTTGCTTAGCACGTCACCAAGAGGAGAGCACGGGAAGTTTATCTACACCGCCTTAGGGAGCCCAAGGCCGGTTGGACTTCTTGCTTAGCACGTCACCAAGAGGCCAAGGCCGGTTGGACTTCTTGCTTAGCACGTCACCAAGAAGAGAGCACGAGAAGCTTATCAACGGTCCAATCTTTGACCACGTTTCCTTCAAGAGTTCCCCAAACTCTTCCTTCCGTTGAGGATAAGTCGTGATCTCCACCGAAGATAATCTCTAAGCTGCGATAAAGAAGCCTTGAGGATATGTTATGATCTCCACAGGAATGATCTCTTATCTACTATAAAATGGCTCTAATCTGAGAGAGAAGGGGACACATGCTCCATCAGAGACTTTCAGAAGACGAACCGACTACCGGAGATTATTGTTTTTCTCTGATTCTCCATTCCCCCTCTCAAAGCTTGTATCTCCGTTCTCCATACCTTTGAATCAATAAAATACCCGGCGACTGAAGCCATTGAAGAGTGGACGTAGGTCGAATTGACCGAACCACTATAAATTGTGTCTTCTTTAATTTTCTCATTGATTTCATTGCATTTATTATCCATACTTGACAGGTGGTGTGCAAAACCATTTTTGTGCATCATCAAAATTTACTGATAAATATTTTATATTTTTGTTGGATTAGTAGGGACTTGCAAGTACTCGATCCCATTAAGAACGAGTCCTATATGCTCTTCTCTTTCTATACTATTCTTGCTTAGAGATTTTTTTTAATTTTTTTGCTTGGTTAAGGCTCCAACAATATTATAAGGTCACGTTTAGATGACAGGAATATTAATTAGTAAGATACTCAAATTTTAATTAATATAGTAATATCATATTTAGTGTTTAATTATTGTCGGTAATTTAATATATGAATTAATTTTTTTTATATTTTTTAATGAAAGACCTTAATTTTAAAAAAGAGATTAATTTTAGAAACAGAACTTGTTTTTTGGAATGAAGTTAGTTTTAAGAAGGATTTTCATTTTGAGATTTTTATTCCTTAAAGAATACTTAATCACTGTAAATATGAGATTACTACCGTTGATCATGGGTTTAGGATGCTCACTATCATTAAGAATTTGATTATAATAGTAATATTATTCTTGACTTGTACTACTGAATAATTCACAATCTAAACATAATTAAACATAATAATACAAAATTTAAGAATAAGAATTTTATTTCTAATCAAGATTACCGACATTTAAACTGGCCTAAACTTGTGAGGTTATCGGATTGAAATTTTCTTGGGTGGAGCTGGAAGTAGAAACCACATCATCCTTGAAAGCCAAGTTAATTAATTAAAATTAAACAATATTTTCTGCTATTATTCTGAAAGATAACTTGTAAGTTTAGGATAAATCCATTAATATATATAGAAATCATATCTATGATGAAAACTTACATAGATAGACATAAAAAAAAAACACAGCAATATACCCTCTCACTCTCTCTCTCATCCAAGCTAGCTAGATAACTTAATGTTAATAATAGAATAACTCACTTCAGTCAATCCAAAACATTATTCAACACTTCAAGGATAAAAATCAAGAAAAAAAATACACCTAATCATTACTAATATAAATTTGGATCAATGTATTAATATAATTTGTTCATTTAATCATTCATAATCATTAAATTAACAGTGATCTTTAGTATTTGATAGAATTCACAATCAATTCAATGATTGTGATATATAAGATAAACAAATTAGGTCAAAATAACGTTATCGATAAATTATATATTAGATAAAATAAGAAGAAAACTATATTCTTTTTTATTTTATTAGCGGAAAAAAGGCTTAAAAGTGCCCACCACCTTCTTGAAAGCTATGATCAACTTCTTAATCCGATCAACGCTGGAAGTGTAAGAAACAGTTCCATCATTGCCTGCAAGTACCCTATACTTGTCCTTCCTCGTAAAGTTGGTGCACTCAAACCCTAGAGTCGCCGCCAAGATCCTCTGGACATAATTAGCGACGTCGTGGGGGCTTTTTCCAGCCGAACACGTCGCTTCCACCGGCAACTGATTCAAGAAGGTCACCTCGTAAACAGGTATAGGGTTCATGAAGAAGAAGAAAGGGTCCAAACCTTTCCAACCCCTAGCTGTAGTTGCATGGAAGAACCCTACTCTATAGTTCATCGCTACCGGCACTATACGATCGGTTAATTCAGCGAAAAGTGCACTGAATCTTAGTAGAAATGGTTCACGGCAAGTTGTTCCTTCAGGACAAACAACTAAATCTCCTTTTGCTAGTTCTCGTTTGATGTTTTCTGCATCTACGTGTCGAGTTCTAGTCAACCTCACAGTAGGTATTGGTGAGAGAATCTCTGATAACCGTGAAATTGAGTACGTGACCGCTGGAATTCTGCGTTGGAGGACGGTGGATAGGACAACAGGGTCCATTAGGGTCCGGTGGGTGCAGACGAAGAGAACGCCGGAGTTGGTGCCAGAGGCTGGTGGCGGTGGCTTTCCTTTTACTATGACCTTGCCACCGAATACTCTGGCAAAGTGAGGAACAGCCCATATAGGTATAACCAAACCAGCAACAATGCGGATTACTGCGAGAATGATGCCTAGAGGGATCCACAGGAGGATGAGGAGGGCGGTGGATGGTGTCGGCCGCTTGACAAGACGGCCGTCGTGGAAGATCACTGGTAATGGTCGGAGGAGCTGGTTGTCATGCTTCTTGTTACTGGTAAATGGCCGGTGGGACTGTTCCTGCAAAGAAGAAAGAAGTGTTTTTAAGCACTATGTTTATTCTACATTGGGGGTAAGTATGCATGGGGGAGTGAATGTATAAGTAAAGAATGTATGCATTGAATAAAGTCGATTCGTGTTATATAACTTCTGATTTAGGCTTTTTTGTGTTATGTCATTCTAATTCATTTTATCATCGAGTCTCATACGTTTTGTTATGTAAATAATCGCAACCCTTTTCTTTCAACCAAATTTGTCACACATAGGTTTAATGCTGCAATATTTGATACAATTCTAAATCAACAAGTCAAAAGTAAGAAAACTAGGTATATTCTCTTTAGGGTAACAATTAAACATTTTTTTTGGAGACATAATGAATTGTCACTAATGATATGATAATGAATTCATTTAATGCTACAATGTGATCTATCATTAAATACATTTCAGTATCACTTCATTAGTGACAACTCATTATGTCCCAAAATTATGTCCGTAAATTATGTCCCAACAACATTAGTGTATTTATATTTGACACTAATACTCCCGATTTTTACTTGCATTACTTAGTCATGTTATTTTCAGCTTTTGATAGGCAAGAAATTAGACCAATCACAACTACAACAAACGAATTACAGCATATATAAATTACTTACCGTGCATAGAGATAAAGAAGAAGAACCAGATTGAGGCCTTCCTAACCCTAGGCTAGGTTGTTTATCCCCAAAGAGCTCTGCAACACGGTCACTAATTGAGCCAAAATCATCCTCGATCAAACCAGTCGTGAACCCAAACCGGTTCACAACAAGTTCACTTCCAATAACTTCATCAGCTCTCAAATGTTCCTTCACGAACATCTCCACCATAATCCTAGGCGTTTTGGTCACCGCAACCCTCTTATCATATGAGCTAAAGACCTTCCAAGCCTCCAAATCAATGTCATCGACGAAAAACTTAGGCAACACCGCTCTCGCCACGGATTCAATCTCGGATACACGCAATCCCACAGTGGCTACAAAAATGGTTAACTTCAAACCAACATCGTCCTTCCCACATACCTCGAGCAAGCGAATCACCGGCCACAACATCAGCAACAATGCAAACCGGATCAACCCCGATGCCTCGAATGCTATCAACATGAAGTAGGAGAAGCTGTCATGGTCCTTCAGAAGGGTCCCTTCTAGTTCCGAAACCACGGAATCCATTAGGGTTTTCTCTGATTTTCTCAATAAAATTGCTGTCGAATTTTTGGGTTTTTGGTTATGGATGACAAGAGTTGATGAGGATATAAGGGTGGTACGTTGAAGGTAGGATTGACTGTTGTCTAATGTAAGAATTTGGCCGTTTATCAGTTTACAACTACCTCTTGTGCATTGTACATATTTGTATTGGAGTGTTTGAATTTTTCTATGTTTTCTAAGGTTGGTATATCTACGTTGAATTGAAGGATTATACGCCACGCTAACATACAAATATTGATTACTTAACCTTAACAACTTCGTCAAAAATGAATGGGCTGCTGATATCGGGTCCACATTTCCACCGAAATGTTGGTATACCACCAAAATTTAGGTTACTTACTAAGTATGTACATGAGCCGTTTTTTGGGCATGTTAAACTGTTCATATAAACGTTAAGAAGTGGCCACTGTTGCAATCTACAAGTACGTAGAAATCTTACCGAGTAGTTTCTCTCTCTGTGTTTTTATTTTGTCCTCTCCTTTGGGCAAGGCGCTCCAACTTTTGAAATTTAGGTGACGTTTGATAACCAATTTTTTTTGTTTTTTTTTTCATTTTATGGCGAGGAATAAAAAAAAAGGCATTTAAGGGTTGTTTTCGTTTTTTTTACTGCTCTATTTCGAAAACAATGCTAAAATATAAAAATATTTAAAATAATATTTTTGAAAACATCCAAAAAAGAGAACAGGCAGAGGGACTGAAACAACTTTAATGAGGTTCAACCTTTAAATCTTGTTAACAGGAAGCAAATGATTTTTATTACTTGAATATAAAAGCTCCTTCCTTTCCCATTCTTGTCTCTTTGCCTCTCTCTCTATTTCTGTCTTTCTGTCTTTCTGTCTCTTTCTCTCTCTCTCTCTCTCTCGTTGGTGGACACTGCATTCTTCAAGAATAAGAGGTTTGTAGGTAGTTGTTGGTAGTGGGTTTCAGGGATTTCGGGGGGAGGGGGGGAGGAGTTGGGCATGGGTTTCAGGAGTTTTGGAGGGTGTTGGTGGTGGGTTTTTGGGGGTTTCGAGGGGTGGAGGGTGGTGGATTGCAGGGGGTTGGGGGTGGGTGGTTGTTGGTGGCAGGTTTAGGTGGTGTTGTGTAGTGGATTTTGGGTAAAATACTAAATATGTTTTTTATTTTTGTTTTCATAATTTTTTAAATATAAATGACTATGAAAATATTTTATATTTTTTAATTTTTATCGTAGAAAAACAAAAAATAGTTTTGTGTTTTTTCTTATAAAAAAAAACATAAAAACGAAAATGTTATCAAACGATAACTAACCATTTATAAATTGCTTTATGAACATTTACTTTTTTTATTCAACCATGTTTAATCACCTAAATTTATATATTTCATTTTCTTTCTACTTTTATATCTTTACCTTTTCGCCTTTTATTTTTTTGAACAAGCTTTTTCGCATATTTAAAACAAACAGATATTGTGTGTACATAAACACTTGTTCAGAGAAAGTAAAGAGAATAAAAAATTCTCACTTCAACGAATTTTAACAAAAAACGAATCTTACGTGACACAATCTGTCTACTCTAGTATAACCCTTGACCATTGAACAAACTAGGGTTATTATTCATGGCTACTGAATTTTCAGTTGCGTTCAACTGCGAAAGCCAATTTTCTTGAGCATGCTGAGCACAAAAATCACCACTAGCATCATCCAAAGTTTCGTTACACTAAATGGCTTTCAGTACATGCTTGGCTGTCTTAATTCATTTGATTTAAGTTTCTTAAGGTCATTTAGACTATTACCCTTGTTCAAAGCAGTCACGGAATTGCTTATTATAGACAGCTTTAATTGGAAAGTCATGGGGTAGATGAGAAAAAAAATACTTCGATTTAGCTTTTCATTACTTTGGGATGGCTTGCAAGTCTCTAAAAATAAGGTACGAGCACATTTTAAGTGGAAATTGGTTCACTTTAAGAACAATTCCTCTCAATTATAAATCTCACATCTTTTATTGATCGTGGACCCACTTACATAGTGAGTCCAACTAAACTCATGGTTGCGATTTGACATCGAGCAAAATTGACGTATAGTATGTTGCTCAACTTCTTTGGTGAACTCTGTTTCTTTTGGAACACTTTTCCTAGCTATCTTCCTCACCCAATTCATTAGGAAATTTGCTTCCGTTGGGTTGGGTGATATAAGAAAAAATATTGAATTTAACGGTGACCCCACATAACATTGATGATGTAGTATCATCAATGAGTGATAAACTTAGTGAGTTCCATTGTGTTACTAACTACCAATAACTATCTTTATTATGTTGAAATTAATTTGGTTCACCAATTCTATTTGTTATTTTATAATTAGTTGATAACATCACGTGACAATGATAATATAGTATCACCTTTACGCCCAATATTTACTCGTCATACTGGGATAAGGCTGGTTTTAGAAAGGAAGGAAATTTTTGACAGGGTCTTGTCCATGATAACACTCGAAATAGTGAGGGAACCCTTATCGCTTGTGGTCACATTCCTTTGTTTGGATAACTAGGCCTAGCTTATGACAAGATTATTATATTACAAAGTTGCTTCAGAAAGTTTTTTATTAGGATGGTACACCTTTGTCGGATTTGATCAAAGAAGTTTAAAAAGATTTATTCTTTGTAATATTTATACAAGTTCAAATATTGGTGATCACTAGGTGACTACACACATTTGTTATTCTCACGACTTAAAAAATTCATAATTGAGACTATTCTCATTTATCCAATCGAAAAGTGCTCTTGATTTGCCAAACTTTTGAGAGAATTAATGATGGATTACTGTATAAAAATTCTTTATCCTGCCCCTTTACTTTCAAACCTCCTCAAGTTAATTTGTTACTTAATTAGGCGGGCCCCTTCAAGTTTGACAAATAACACTCGGTCCCCAACGGTGAACTAACAGACCTAACATATGTGTCTAAATGACCATTTTATCCTTTAGAAAAACAAACCCAATTAAAATCAATTTTATCATTAATTTGGCTACTTCTTTATACCTGGACGGGTTCTTTTGATAATGTCTCTGTTTATAACAACAATGACAAAATAAGATTCATGAAACCGATTCAAAGTAGTTTTCAACCGGGTATTACAAAGTTGAGCAGTTTGGGTCGGAATGGAGTATACCACTGATTTGATTAACACTACCTTACTTGCATGATTGAAATTTTTTTTTTTTTTTATCATGTGATCATCTTCCCTTCTACTCTTTCAAGTATCTAATTTATAGTGTGATTTTTTGATCAAATCCAATTCTGTTAGCAGATCCAAATATTACCCAATATGGAGAAGGAGAGAGACTCTCCAATGTACTGAAATTTCCTGTCAGCAGAGGCTTCAGCTTTGCACATTTCATTAAGTGAGCACCAAATAGATATCATGCTCGCGTTAATGGAAGTGTCATCAAATGGGTTTTGTACCATTTGCACCAGATAAACTTTAATGAAATGAAATTCTTGCACCATGATGTTATATTTTTGGTATTGAATCATCTTAACTTTGTGTCGAAACTTAAAATCAAGTTTTATGCAGCAATAACCAAATTACCATAATACCCCCCCAACTCCTCCGCCCTACGAAATTCAATGGCTTGCACCATATTTTGGAAATTCAAAGGCTTGGATGGTACTATTTTACAACCGACAATATCTAAACTGCAATATTGCCTTATTTTAATTTCAAAATTAGCTTCTTCGGCGGAATTACCCAGACGGCCCGTCTAGCTCAGTTGGTAGAGCGCAAGGCTCTTAACCTTGTGGTCGTGGGTTCGAACCCCACGGTGGGCGCACTCATTCTCTTTTTCTTCTCATTTTCTCTCTCAACTTCGTTAGCCCGGTCCACGGTGGAATCAGTAGTATGTTTGTATGGGGCCATCATGAAGTGATCTATTGCAAGTTCGCTAACAATCAAGACCGATAAAGGTTTTTTAAATTGGGCCTGATTGTAACCTTAATGCATGGGCTTGCAAGAAGTCTCAATGGGCTTTTTTTTTTTTTTTTAATTTTAGTAAATTAGGCTAAGATCTCTCATTTGGCGTGTAAATTAGTTCAGTTCTAACGGATTTCTTGTATATAAAAAAGTCTTCCTTATTTTTAAAAACTTTGGATATGGTCCCCATGTTGGTGGGTTGAACAGTTATTGTATATTTATTATCATTTTGCCCTCGTCCAATTTGGTCTCTCACTGACGATGATATGGACAAAAGAGAGTGGAACCAAAGCAAATATAATCATAGGTCCAACATTGATGATCAAACCCTTTTATCTTCATTATTTGATAGTTTGTTTACCAAGAATGTCAAAATTAGTCAAAATGATAATATTAAAAGAATTTGGAAGGAACTTGAAAACTACCTCAATGATTTCAACGATGACAATGTAGTCGATGATGATGATGATGATGAGGTATAATTGATGCGTTTTCATATGAATTTATTTTTAATCATTAAATGGCGTATTTGTAGCTTCTTCTCAATTAAATACTGATGTATCTATCACATAAATGTATATATTCGTATGATGTACTTGAATGATCTTATATGTTATTCATCGTATATAATACGTTGTGTACCTATACAAATACGTGTACATTTATTGCATACCTGTTTGAAGATTTATTTTTATGAAGAAGATTAGTGTACTTGTCTGATGATTACTGTGTAACTATCTGACAATTAGTGTACTTGTATGATGATTTGTGTTTATGAAAAAAAATATACATTATGATGTCTTAACTTTCTAGAATAGGTGTTTAAATTAGATGATGACATTGTCTTTATTTTTTGTAATTTTAAAAGACGTTAGTTATATCCATTTCTTTGACTTTTCAATAAGAATCTAATTCAAAAAGAAATTGACGAGTGAATTTTTTTTGGAATCCTATATAGCTTAGGTATCGGCCTACAAAAAACTCTTTTAATTTCCATTCTGTTGTTACACATGGAATCCTAGATATTTCGTATTTCACATAATTCACTTGTGCTTGATGATCTGTTGCTAAAATAAAATGTAAGACTCTCAATTTTGTACAACTGAATACGACATGATGGATTTAAAAATGATACGATAAATCAACACGATTCTTAATAGATTTAGGATAGAATTAGACACCAATAACTCATTGCACATTTAGTGGTAGTGTAAGAACACAATAAATAATTTGTTATTTTCCGATCTATTATTGTCTGAATTGTTTTAGAATTAATAAATTTTGCATAGATGGTAATCTGAGAAATCAAATGGCACAACCTGAATATGATGTAAGTTGACACATATTCAACTTGACATAGCATGACAAAACTTAAATCGACAATTTTGTTAAAATTCTCACTTTCTTTTCGGTATGAGATTCTTTAAAAGTAATGTTATACAACTCAAATAAAATTTTAAAAATTACAATTCAAATATGTATCATCCCTTGGATAAGTAAGTTTTGATGATGCTCAAAAGTGGATATTATGTATCACCTGTCCAATAATTAATATAAGTGATAAATGCAACAAATAAAAGATGAAATCAGCACAAGTAACACACAGATATAGTGTGGTTCGGTTAGGATGACCTACTCCACTTTGAAGGCGGCAACGGTGGCCGAAGAATTTTATTGATAAAGTAGCTAATGGGAGAAAGAGCACATACAAGCTCTAGGTGTGGTTAGGGGTGTAACTCGAGTGAGTTGGACAGGTTGAGAGGTTAACCCTAACTTAACCCTAAGTATATAATTTTCAACCCTAACTCTAATCCTAACTCTACTTCAACCTGAATACTGTTCAAGTTTAAATCGGGCGAGCTCAGGTTGAATTCGAGTTACTTAATTCGGGCTATTTTCAGGTTAAAAATCGGGTTTGACTAAGGTTACTTAATTCGAGTTGATAAAATAAGGAGGAGTGACGAGTGAGAGAGGGAGACTGAGAGTTTGAGACAAGACTCAGATAAGAGAGAGAGAGAGAGAGGGGGGGGAGGCTGAGTTTCTAAGATCAGATGAGAAACGAGTGACGAGTGAGAGAGGGATTTGAGCGTGAAGAAAGCGTAGGGATGAAGATTTGAAGTGAAGTGAAAGTTTGAACTCTGAAGAGTGAAAATAAATACTAACTCTAATTAAATATATTTATATATTTGTGTATATTCGGGTCGAGGCCTCAACTCGAGGCTTGCTCGAATTCAATTCAAATTGGGGTTTTTTAACCCAGGTATTAAAAATTTTAACTCAAACCCTGTTTTTTTCGGGTTGAATTCAGGTTGACCTCCCCAAGTTGCACTCCTAGGCGTGGTGAGGTAGCTATGAGATAGATAATTGTGTGTGGGATGTAGAGATGCCCCCCTCTCATATAAAGAGAGCTTACAATTTATAAGCATAGAGTTTTGGTTAAAGTGGTGGCATGATGGGATAAGTGACTGATTCTTCGGAAAGGGTAGTTACAACTAAAGATAGGTATAATTAAAGATAGTCATGATTTTTGAGCAGTGGTTATCTCGGTATTTACTTCCCACGTATGCTGACTTCTTGAGTTTCTTGAATCTTGGACTGGGCCGGATCTATGAACTAGATTTGACCTCCGTTGTAGTTGATTTGGGTTTATCTCATTAATTGGGTCTGATCCTGTTAGATTTGGGCTCGTCATGTCCTATTAAAATTTTTTAGTGAAATCCATTCATCTAATGGATAATATATATTTGGGTTATATTTTTTGACTTGTGTGGAATTTTCTTTCTTTTAAATTTCTTAATAGATCTTGATCCTTTACAAAGTACTGCAAAGGATTGATTCAACTCCCAGAGAAATCCATTAACCTTCTACACGTGGCTTAAGTTATGGTTGATTGCATTGACTTATGAGGATTTTGTTGGGAATTAATTATTTTAGAATTAATCATAATGTTCTGGAGTTTATTTATTTTTATTTTTTTAAAATTAAGCTGGAGGATGAACTTGCCTTCAACTCAAGTTCAATTCAAATGCTCACAAGTTTCTATCGAGTCAAACATTAAGTAAGAATTTAAGTTCTGCAATTGAGCTCAATTCGTTATAACCAAAGCCAGCCTAAACATACTTGGCAAATTAAGCTCAACTAACGCCCCTACTACTATGCCTTCAAAACACACCTAACAATAATTAACTAGAGAGAGAGACTTTGTATTGACACGTAGTTTGTCACTCACATGAATGCACAGGATGAAATTGAATCAGTGAGTAGGTAACTGCTAACCACAGAGCTTAATTAGAAAATGGTTTTAAGATTAATATGCAACCTTAAAATATGATACCTATGGAACCTTACATAGCATTAGGTAGGTTCCTGCCTATCAAATCAACTGGTCAGGGCATGAGCTAGCAAGCCTACCATAGCATAAGGAAAGAAAGAAGAAGACAGACATCATTGATGAATGATAGAGAAAGACACTTCCATCGTTATACTCGAAAGTTGAAAGGCTCCTCTCCACCATCCCAGAACCTCGCTCCTTTCTCATGCATGTTATTCCAATCACATCTTTGAAAAAAGACGGAAAGTTATTATTATTATTATTGTTTTTTTATTTTAATTTTTTCGGACTTGAAAAGTTAGAGAGATAGTTTGAGGGTTTTTTTATGTGTAAAGGGATGGAGTAAAAGAGAGCGTTAAGAGGCCACTCTAATATGCTCTCACTGGTAAGATTATGAGGTCTCTGGTCACATCCATTACACTTCTAAGAAACGAACCTAGTTAGGTTAGCATAGCAGTCAACCACCGAGTCTCAATATAGACTCGAACCTCTAATTTCAGAATGAGAAGTTTGGTCGAAACTTCACTGGACCTCCTCATTGGATGGTGAGAGTTTGAGGTTAGTGAAAATGGCATCCTCCTGTCTTTGTCCCCAATCTCCTGCTTTCTCTCTCCTATTTTTTCTTTGTTTCTTTATTTCTTGAGCCTTGAAGCATAAAATGAGCAATAATCTAAAGCACTGGGAATTGTTTCGAGGTGTCTAAAAACAGGTCTCTCTTGGTTTTGAAAGGTCGCAGAATTGTATGAATGTGTCCGACTCTCAGCTTTTCTTGTGTCAAGAAGACAAGACAGAGAGGGCCATGCCAAAATGACCACCGACCCATGGCCATGGCTTAGTGGATAACAACCAACCTTGAATTATGGATAGTAATACGTCCACACTAGTCACTGTTATGATCAATAATGCATTTTTTATATCCACTCCCTAGAGAAAACATGTGCTTCAATTCACTATTCTGGCATACAACTACATGGGAGTTTTCTTATTGTTAGTGTGTGTGTGTTTTAATGATTTTTTGGTTCATTTTGAAAAGTATTGAGCTCGAGAGTATAAGTATGAACACCTGGTAACAAAAAACAAAAAAATGCATATAAGCTACAAGGGATTATCTTTTTTACGGAGTATTGTGGAAAGTTCTAATGAATGATATATAATTCCAATAGGTAGCTCAAGTAGAGATAGAGGTGCATTGTAAACTCAAATATCCTAAGTTCAAAACTTAGCAATTTTTTGGAGTCAACCTCCTAGGCGTCAGCACAATTTAGTTAATAGAACAAGCCTCTATTGAGTGGACGAACCATATCCAGATCTTCGGTGTGAGTTCGACTTCCCACGAACTATGCGAGTCCTGATTTGACTATTGCACGTGTTGAGTGAAGAGCACGTGCGACACTTCTTTGAATGGAAATTACCTCCAGTAAAGGGCTAGGGTTAGCTTTGAGGGAGGTAATTCCCATGGAGTTAACATTCCTAATGAATGATATATTATTTCATTGAAGACAACAACAATGGTGCAAAGGGTAAAGTAATGAGCTATTTTGACCTAATTTAGAGATCTAAATTAAGAATTTAATTCATTATAACTATTTGACTATAATAAGTTAGAAGAATAGAGGATGATACCCACTTTTAATTTAATAGTTTTTATAAGTTTTATTTCCAAATTAGGTCCTCTTTATTAAGTACAACTATTATTTTCCTAAATCTAGTATCGTTTGATGAGACATAGATATCTATACTTATCTAGGCTATTCAAATAATGATTTATCTCTATAAGTCCTATTGTATATCTAGCAAGGCTATTCATAAATTTCTTTTCCTATTCAATGTGTTTATTTTTTTTTTGTTCATCAGTCAAAAATGTCTGAACCAACTTCCACACACCTCAATTAATCTCCTCCTCGGTCCGATCAAAGATAGATTATTCACGCTTGGACTAAAGTATTAATGAAAAATAAATTTCTCACAGCTTAGTCCCAAGGGATTATTAAAATTCGAACTAAAAAAATTTATATTTATAATTCGCCTCTATAACATCTCCCTAGAGTGGAACAACTTTTAGTTGGTATTATAATGCTATGTATACTCATAGATGACCCTGTCACAAGTGCCAATTAAAGGAAAGGGAGGTATTGTTCTTGAATAAACGACCACCTCATTAATTTACACTACTACTCATCAATTATTTCCCATTTTTGTAGCCCGACATATTAAGATGATGATTAGCTCTTCCATCAAAGTTGTCATTGTCTGTGAAGAATAACAATGGGTAAAGCTCTTTTAAGGCATAAATTTGGAAAGGTTACCCAATTTGTGAATGAAAATGTAGGCCACAATGGAGACCTTAAAGAATTTTACTTTTTAACTAAAGTGAGAGTGCCCCATAGGGCCATAGGCACAACAAAAAAAAAAAAAAAGAGAAACCAAACCTTTTAAGGGTGACTATAAAGCATGAAAAATCCCATCTTAGTGCTCACCCATGTTTTAGTACAAGTAAAAACCTTCGAGGAAGACAACTAAAAGCTCAGGACAATGACAGGACTTGGATCATCATGTGGAGCATGCAAGTTTCTGAGGAGAAAGTGCACAAGTGAATGTGTGTTTGCACCTTACTTCTCCTACGACCTGGCGGCCAACCACTTCGCGGCTGTGCACAAGGTGTTTGGTGCCAGCAATGTTTCAAAGCTGTTGTCGAACCTCCCACTGCACCACCGGAGTGAAGCTGCCATCACAATATCGTACGAAGGATTGGCTCGGATGAGGGATCCCGTATATGGTTGCGTAGCTCATATCTTTGCACTCCAACAACAGGTTTCCTGCTATGTCTCCTCTCAAACACATATTGAACAATAATCAAGTTCAAATATTTCATTCCATAAAATAGGGGGAAAAAAATAATTCATACCTGATGGAAATTTATTGTATCACATGCAGGTGGCCAGCCTACAGGAGGAGATAGAAATTCTTGGGAACCAAATGGTTAATCTCAAATTTGATGTGCTTCCCAGTGGAAGTTCTCAAGTGACTAATAATCTTTATAATTGTCTACAATTCCGTTCTCCAGAGAATGCTTTAGACATGGACGAGTATCTAAATCAAGAGATTCCACAGCTTTCATCTACAGACAATGAATCAGCAAATCAAGCTTTTTATAGCCAAATGAACCTTCAGCTTCCTCCTGTAAATGGACTGGACGACCCAACTTCTCGTTCTTTCCTTGATACAGATACTGAAGGACCATCGGAAGGATTGGACCAAGAAATTTTTCTGCTTTATCCATGGATGGGCAGTGGCTGCGACTACTAGCAGGGATAAGTTAGTGTTATAGCTCTCTTAGTCCCCTGTAAAACAAATCATGTAGAAGAATGTGTTCTCCTTTCTTTCCTTTTACCAAAAGAGGTGTTAGTTAAAACTTTGTAACAACCATGCCTACCATGGTAACTGTCAAAGGGGTCATGCACGTTTGGGTTGCTTAGCTTGGCACCCGCATCTTGGCCTTGGCATGGTGCACCATTGGGTAAGTCACTCACAAGCCATGGCCATGTCAAACATCAAGATGCTAACAGTAAGCACCTGATGCGACGTTGCATTTAGCTACTGATGGATTAGGCCATACTGAGGAATGGACAAAGGAAAATCATTGATGAGTCGCAGATTCTCCATATCTGGAAACCTATTTCCTGCTTTAGCAAAGGAATCATCATCCTGGAAGTCAAGTTAGCTCAGGTTGGGCTTCTAACATATCAACAAATAAACATTTACCTTCCTACGAATAATTAACGACATACTACACACTAGGTAGACCGTCATATGTAGTCTAACATGATGTAACATTTCTCCTCTCATCGAAACACCTAGATGCATCAGAAGAATGAGGCCATAAAAATGCAATTTTCATTATAGGTATAAAAACATTACTAATATATTATGCTTTTAGATAAAAAAAAATAAGGAAGAATACAATGGCAAAAACATAAAAAATTTGAAAGTTCCACCTGTGCTGTCCAGACTACCACTCTGTATTTCCAGAAAAAAAATTAGGAAAGAAGCAAATCAGTTGCCTCAGCTCCAAATGCAAAAAATCCATGGGTGTTTCTAGAAATTAATTGAACTACAGTAACTGAATCCACCTCCAATCCTGCTAAAGCTGTACCGATTATCCAAGAGAAAAAGATCATGCCACTCCAGCGATCGAACATTCTGTAGATTTCAACTAAAAGTTTCACAATATGAAATCAAACAGCACATTACGACGTCGTTTGGACAGAAAAATAACTAACCCCTCTCACGAGCACCATTCTCTGGCATTTTGGAACATTCGTAACCAGTGGCTCAGGCCTTTCTTTTCCACATCCCAGTGCTTTGGATACCATGGAAACTGCCACATCAAAAAGCAGCGCCCCAGATGGGGCATCATGGCAAGATGCATCCCATCCACAGAAGAAATGGCTGCCACACCCAAGGGATGGGGCATCATGTCCCCAAGCACTTTCTCGAGCTGAAGATCCACAGCAGGTGGTGGGGGAGGAAGTCCACTGGAACTAGCACCTTTCAATATCTAAGCAGTCAACTAAAACAACATGTCCATCACCACTAATTGTTACAATAATAGCCATAGAGACTCTTTCTCTATCACAGATGGAATGCAAAAGTCTTCTACTTTCAGGCTTCACCAATATTGCATATTGCTCCTGATACTCTGCACCCCATATCTCCAAGACAGACATTGTGTTGTCACCAATTACAATTCGCCAGATATCAATCACGGCACCCTTGGCTATATTATTTCCTTAACGACATTACAATTACCACTAGCACCCTGATCATGAATACTGATGATTGGGTTTTTCTCTCCCATTTCAGCAAAGGCACGAACAACACGATATAGTTTTTGTGCCATCTCTGTGGCTCCACGCTGCACAGCATTAAAATCCAGGTCAGCATAATTTTGGCCACTAACCATGCTGGGCCTGCAATCCTTACAACTAGCACACCAATGCCCGTCTCTCCTTTGGATATGTGGTCATGATTAATCTGTCCTATGCCTCCACTGAACATGATCGGCTACAACCATTCCCACCTTTCTCCACAATGGAGTCGCATTCCAAAAGCTCTCAAGTAGCCCTGAATCAATGGCTCTCCAAATTTATTCCCATAATCTGATGCACCATTGCTAGCATCAATGAGAATCTGCAAGGGCGAAGCCAAGTTCGACAGATATGTAAATGAAGGGTCTTCCAAAGGAGCATATGACCCTTCAATATTAAGATTTCCAACACAGTGGCCAGTCGTAGCCCCTTTGGAACCCCTTCCAGTGGCATGGGTATCCCTGATACGGCCTCCTGCTCCTGTTTCTGCACCAGGGTAAGGCGCCACAGAACATGGGAAATTATGGGTTTCAGCTGTAAATAAGATATCAAGACAACGAGTAATTGTGTTCAACAGACATGATGAACCAGGTTGAACCGTTCGCAACTGCTCCACCGGAAACCCCTTGATTGCACTTGAGTTGTCCTTGAACCCAATGACAGAGTTGTTTGGATTTGCTTACAAAGTCTTACTAATTGCCCATAGGCCGATCATCTATAGCAATCTCCCCAGTGAAAAACCAACTGTAGGTCTTGTTCATTAAAGGCCAATCCCATTACCACATTAATTTCCTCTGATACCTTCCGACCCTTCTCCATGACTGGAATAAAACGAAACTTCTCGGGACTTAAAAGATGTGAGCGTCTGGGTATAAACACACTCGGTCATTCTATCATGCACCATTGCAACAAACTCATTTATCTGATTATCTGACAATGAACCACTGCCAGACGGCCCAGACTTAATATACAACCAGTACTTCCTTGTTCGTTCCATTCTTTTTACCTACAAGCATTAGCAGACCATTCGGTTGTAAAAGACAACCGGGGCCCAATTTCAATTATCATAGTACTCAATCCCGTCTTCCTGTCCTCATTAAGAAAGCTCTCAGTCCCCATATTTTCAGGCTCATACGTTTCTGCTAAAAGCCATCTAATCACTGCAAGTTTCTCTTTCGTAAGAACCGAATCAAGCCCAATATTAAAACATTGTTCACTTTTCAACCCAACTGTTTGATTTGAAATTTTCGTTCGCAACAACCTCAGAACCTCAACAACTGACTGATCATCAAATAGATTTTTTTCTTTTTTTGAGAGGGATCCAACAGAGTTAAACTAGTAAAATTTGAATTGGGTGATTCCATTTTTTTTTTGGAATGAATCACCATTATAATCTGAATAAGTTAAAAATAAAAAATAAATCCTCCCTGTAAACAACTTCAAAAAGACTCACAAGCTACAAAATCCACTTCCAATCACTAACACTCAGTTAATTGCTAATTGATGCAGAGAAAACAGGGCATTACAAGTGTTTATGTTAATTATGCATTTACGTAATTAATTAAACGTTTTAATTGTGTCAATTTTAAAAAGAGACAAAATTTTATATTTACTAGTTCCTAATAAAAAATGACAAAATTTTAGTATTTTATTCCTACCTACAAAATTAATTAAACGTGTTAATTGTGTCAATTTTACATTATTTGTGTTTGTATCATTTTTATATTCATCTCAAGAATTAGATAACTTTAATATACTAAATTCATGCTGGCTAACCGTGTCATGTTCAAAATTGCTCCCAATTTTATTGAATGTTAGGATCCACTACTACTAATTCAATTATTACAATATATTAAATTCTCAAATTTAGGTCCTCCTATTAAATTCCAATAGCATAATTCTAGGTAGGAATAGGTGACAAGTCACAACATATAGTAGGCTTGATATAATTGAAATTCATATTCTCTCTATTACACTTTCGCTTAATTTCATTAAATGGTAGATCATCCTCTATGTCTTAGTGGAGGGTCTACTTAAAAAAAGCAGTTCTCACTTATATTAATGATATTTCATCTACTATTAGATAGAATTGAGTAAAGGTGTAATGAAAAATATCTCAATGCATAAAATTTGTTACACTATTTAAATTATATACACTTGATTTTTTTATATAAAAAAATAGTTAAAACACCATATGATAGTACTAGATGATGTGCAACTACAACTCAATAAAGTCTTATCCTAACATTTTTGGGATCGGATACATGAATTTTGTTTCTCTATTTAGCTCTATCAAGGATAATGTTTTTAGTTAAATTATAGGTTATTATATCTTTCTTTGTTATTTCATTTAAAATTAATTTTGATTTTCCTATATTTTTATCCAATAACTAGCATATGTGAGACCCATTCATGCATTACATTGCATTTAAATGATGGTAAGGGTGAAATTATAGTTTTCATTGCTTAGCAAAAAAAAAAGTAATGGTGATGGTGTAATTGGAGAGTGTTATTATGTTTTGGATAGATATTAGTAAATTAAAGGGCAAATTTTTTGGACGGATATAAATAGACCACTCTCAGTAAATGCAAAAAGATCATATTATCCTTATTTTCTAAACTGATTTGTCACCCCCTCCTCTCCTCCCAACCCAACAAACCAACCACCCTATTGCCATCACCTCAACCACTACACTGGCCACAACGATTTTCAATGATTTTTTTTCATTGAAAATTAAATTTTCTTCAAACCCATTTTAATTTCAATCCAACTTCAATTCCAACTATCTTCATTGCAAATCAAACTCAATCAACAAATTGAATCACCTACAACCACAACATCCATAACCACCCGTAGCACCTGCAACCACCACCCACTCGGAGAAAGAAAAATTAGAGTCGCAGATTTTTGGCTCAAAATTGAAATCAAAATCAAAATTTCATGTTGATTACGATTTCGATTTCATCTTCAAATCATTGTTGCACTCATTTTACTGAAGTGATGCACTAGGAAAATTGGTTTTGCCAAATTAAAATTGTGATTCGTCGGAGTGGACTAGTTTCGGCCATGAGACGAGGAGGATGGGCATGAGATTAAGAGATAGAGGAAGATGGGTCTGTAAGAATGAGGGTATTTTTTGCCTTTTCAATGGAAAGTTGACTATGATACAAAAACAATTTGCACCTAAACTCTCTACTCTAACACGTGAATTACAAATTTCGTTAATTTTGACAGAATTTGTAACGGTAATATTTTAGTCTAAAAACATAAAAAGGGTAAAGTGTCTGTTAAAAAAACACAAGGGGGTAAAACAGAATTTGCCCTAAATTAAAAGTACTAAAGTTGAGGAGGGAAAAAAAATTAGTCAGGTAAAGGAAACATAACTAATGGGGCAAAACTATATTTTCGTATTAACACCTATTATGACGAAAGGGAGATATTACAAAAATGTGGGGGATATATTTATAATTAATCAATTATATAAGTTGGAGTAAAATAAACAGTGAAAACATCTTCCTGGCAGATGTACTGCACACTTCTACACATATTCTTCACCCTTCCTCCTCTCGCTAAGCACACAAGGAACACAAGAAGTTGGAATCTCATCTAGTTTTCCTTTTGGTTTGTTGAATTTGAGTTTGCCCAAATCCTATCACTTGCATAAGAGGTATGTTTTATTTTCTAGCATATGAATTTTACCGGTAAAATTATCAGTTGGGTATTCTTAATTCCTGAGATTTTTGCAAGTTTATGGATCTAAAGTTAGAGGTCTAGAGTGGACTTGCGTGCTAGTTTGACAGTTTTGTGCCTTGCTGCTGCCCAGGGATGAGATTAGGGAGGGAAGCATAGTTACTTGCTCTACTTCTATCTTAATGCCTTCTTTTGTTGGCTCTGCTCTCTTTGTGGTGATCTGTTCTTGGCTTGACTGTACAAACTTTCTTTTGTACATTTGCTCCTTTTATTGTCTTAATACATGTTTACATTTTGAAAAAAAAAAAAATATATTTTTGGCCAGATTTTGTTAGCTAAATCTCATGGCTTATAATTCTTTTAAATCAATATTTTTGATAATATTAAGTATGGTGGCATGATTAGAAGGAAGTTGAATAATGTTGGGAATGGGTGAAATGGTTTGAAATAGGTTTATGTAAGACTGATGGTGAAACAGGAAAATTATTGGTTGGACATGTTTGGAAAAATGATCATAATGCTTTCCTCGGGACGCTGTTTAGAGCTCATAACCTATAATTAGAAAGCTTAGAAAGTTGACTTTATAATCAAGTTGGTTGTGTATCAATTTAGTAAGGTTTACAACTTATTTTGGGTAAAGCCACTCTTTGAGTTCGCATATTACCTAAATACATCCCAAGTATTTGAGAAAATGTTTAAGTGAGTGGCTCGATATCAATTTTGTGTAACGGGATATCAAAGAAAAGGGTAAAAAGTAAGTAAATTAGCGCAAATTATTTATTACCCATAAATTCACTTAGTAATCGGTTAGGGTGGCAACACTGATTGATCGACCGTTCTATCCATTGAGTATCCATTCCGAAGTAATTATTTCACTAGTTATTTCTCATAAGTATTCACTTGCATTTCTTGAGTAATTTTAGAGTCGATACTTACTTGTATTTTACATAGGTTATGAATTATTAGTTTTCCCTGTTCAAAGCATCTATTGCTAAAAAAACGAGTTTTGTTGTCTCCCATACCCTTTCTGAGGGTATGGAGTCACTGTCACATCGGCATAGTTGTGTCTAAAGGCGTCAGAATGGTAGGATGGCTGACAACAACCTTGCTAAAAGCTTACTGACTTTCCGAAGCCCCACCTTCAAAAAAGCGTTGTCGAATAGGAGCCCACCACCTCCCGTCCAATTTCCAAACACATTCTTATTACTTCACTCGAAATGTACTTCATTACCCAAAATTTTGGCCTCAATGAACCTTTTTCCTTGGTCTCCAAAGGGATGAACTAAAAAGCCAACTAATGGTTGAACATCCTTTTGATAAGGGCTAAGCGAAGGCTGTCCTTAGCTTTGATTCACCACCCCTCAGGCATGGGAAGGCAAAAGTTGTAGTAGGTGTAGGGATGTAATGTTACCTATCTGTTGTAATCTCTGAAGTAATAAGAATGTGTCTGGAAGTTAGACGGGAGGTGGTGGGCTCCTATTTGACAACGCCTCCAGACACAACTATGTCAACGCAACGATGGTTCCCATACCCTTTCGGAGGTTACTACATTGGTTCTATCTAGGGATCGACCATAAAGCAAAAAAGTGCATTTGTTGGTGGTAAAAGTGAGTGTATTACTTCATAAAAAATAAAAATAAAAATATATGACATGTAAATTATTTTTACTATGTGAAATAAAATTTTAATGATTTGATTTGTGTTGAGTTGAGCAAATTATGGATCACATATATTTTATTGAAAAATTTATAATTTAAGTATCATCCACTGTGCAAAGTTTTTAATAGTTTGACATAGTTTACATGTTGATTTTGACATTACGCAATTATTGTGAAATAACTTGACATTGTTTAATTGTTGTTGTTTGACTCTCTCATGTAGAATATTTACTATTTTAATATATGAGGTTGACTTGAATCCCAGAGTGAGATGAAATCACTTTGGTTGTGATTTGCTCAGGTCATGAATATACTTTTAGTGGAATGATATTTCATCCATATTTTTGTTATATTTCCTTTAATTATGATATTCAGTACATTCAATAAAATTATTGATTTAAATTGTCAAAGTTCTAGAGTGGGATCCACCGCACCACTAACAGGGTAGAGGAAAGAGATTAAGGAAACTAGTCGTCTAGATATATGTAAAAAATAATGTTTGTTTTCTTGTTGATGTAGAAAATAAATTCTCTAATATTTGTTTTGGTTTAAGTTACACCATTGTGTATCATGTCATAAAGTTGTTTGGTTGATCTCTTTTATGAAACCATCAATTAGTATTATTGATTTTAAATACATCATTACAAACATAGGTATTACATATCAAGTTACACATCAACCTTAGGGATACCAAATTAGCCTCTTGAGATGGAGTGAGACAATATCACTCTTTCTCTCTTTTGCCGTAGTAAGCCGTCTATAAATATGTCTAAAATTCCTAAGTCAATTCTCACTTAACTTATCTCTTATATATGTTACATCTACTTTTTCATGAATATATTCTTTCATAATTCTATCTATCCTAATTTTATCACATATCTATTTTAAGATTCTCATTTCAACCATCTCGTACATCCACCTTTTATCTAATAAAATCATGACACGGGGAATTTTTTTTTTCAATGTATACAAATCAATCAAAATAGAATCTAAAGCCCTAGATTAATTTCAGTATAATTCCCACATTTTTTGTGGGTAGCGTAGAATCATCCCCAACTCTATGCACCGTATTCACATACCAAGGCAACTGCTCAAGCTGATGAAGCCTGATAGGCGATGCACTTGTACACAGCAGAATCCATGACTAAGAGTTAGGTCTTGGCTTATCTGCATCTGTTGAACCGGCCTGACTACATATTCACTCAGCATTAATCATATGTAGTAACGACTCTCTCTCTCTCTCCCCACACACAGTAACGCAGATTCTGGTGGTAGAGACAGCGATGAGAGATGTGCAAAACTGCAATTACTAGTATACTTTCCTAATTTGCAGGTTCTGGGTACATTCTTCTCCATTCAGCAATTTACCTAGATGGTGCGACTTTAAGAATTCCTACTTTTAAAAAAAGAAGGTTTATACATACTAAGGAGTAACTCGGCTACTCATTTCCACAGTCCCTATATTGGCATGGGGTAAAATCCAGAAATGAGGAGCAAAAGGTTAAACACTAGAAAGAAACGTTTATCTCAATACTTACAAGAAATCGGAAGCACAATTATTTGAGCTGCAAGCAGGGGTTTGTCAAGAAGAAGAACAACCTGCTAACAATGCTAGAGGGATTAAACCAAACCATGAAAAATTCCGGACACACGTTGAGGAAGCAAATACACACAGATTTGTAAGTCAATGCAATCTATAATCTATAATATAAAATAGAGCGCGCCGAATTCAATAAATCTATCCAACAGTGTTAAACTTATCCAACGGCCAGTAACGTCTCTTTCAAAACCATTCATATTACACAATACCTTCAGACACGACCGCACAGGTTACCCCTGGTTAAAAGATAAGGGAGACTAGTTAAGCAAGCAAATGATTGAGCTAGGTTCATGCATCTCATATTTCTTACAAGGAAGTCAAAGCATACTAAATTCAAGCAGCTTGATCAAGTTTTGGCAGTGGAAACCTCACAAACTCATTCTTAACTACACTACATGCTCTTCCCCTTTCAGATGCTATAAGAAACCATATAAATAACCCCAAATCTTTCATGAATGAGACCAAAATTGGAAAAAATTCTTCATTGTACCACTATAGTCTCATATTCTACAATTTACAGCTAGCTGTTAAAACCATTAACAATATACTCCGGGATATCATAACAATATACTCCGGGATATCAAATCGAAATTCAAAACATCATCTCCATCCTTGCAGATGGATTTGTCTGATTTTACCAAAGTAAGTAATCCTCATCCAATTATAGGTCAGACAAAAGTGAAGTACAAATCAATGAAAAGGGGTGAAACAGGAACAATTGACATAGGGAAACAAACCAATCTTGGATGGATCATCTTATGATGGTGAATTCAGGAATAATTAGTGGCAAATTCTGGTTAGAGATCAGAAAATTAGGTCATCAAAAGATGCAGAAATCTAAACCAAGGTCTAGGATAGCAGTGAACATAACAATGATTAATTCAAAGAAAAATGCAAAAGCTGGTAAAATAAAGTACAATTAATGCTCACAACTGAATGCAAGAATGTTGGGAATATAATTCACAAGACGGTAGCATACAAATTGATAATATCAACACAAGGACATGAGCATAAGAGTTTTTACCCAGATGGGTTGGTGTCATTCCACTAATATCTAACAAGATTTTTCTTTTTTTTGCAAGATCACTTAAAATTGAAGATCAACATTCAACTAGAGCCAACAAAGTTTTGTCCCAATTATTTAGGGTTGACGATATAAACCTTGTTCTGCTACTGTGCCAAATCAAGTATCATCTATTATATTCAACCACAAGCTGTCATATCTTTGTTTATTTTATCATTTAATGTTAAGTTCGATCTACCTCTTATAAGTTGCAGTAACATCAATAGTGCTCTTCCATGAATTCAAAATTTTTTTTTTTAATTACAAAGTTGTTCTCAAAACTTCTTTGTAGTAGTAAAATACCTACTTTGGTTATCAATCAATACTACCATTACCAAAAATCATACACCATAGAATTCCATCATAAATGTTTCATCCATAATCAAGGCAAAATGTTATGGATTTCATGTTGATCATTGATCTAAGCTTACAAAGATTAAGAATTCACTGGTTTCCCTTGCATTCATTGTCGTTTAAGTTACTGCACAGTCATAGATGACGTTAATCAGATTATTATATCTCCTTATAACTCTTTTTCTTCTTTATAACATGTTATAATATCAGATAACCCTTTTTTCCCTTAATTTGGCAAGTACGTATATAATTTTGTCTCCATTAAATTATATCGAACTTAAAATAAAGATTATATCATGTGCTGAAAGGGAATGCACAAGTAATAAACTAACATACACATTTTTTCATGTAAACCAATTCCACTCGATATAAGGAGTGATATACCCACTTTCCTTCCTTATCTATAGCTTTTTCCTTTTTCAATCATACCCCAACTCACCTCCGTATGCTGCACAACATCTACAATCTAATCACTCAAAAATATAATTGCAAACAATAAAAGTTTATGCACAATTGGACTCACAAAATCATTTCATGCATTTTCAAATAAGCTATGGTTTGGGAAAGTAACAATAATTATTTAAATTTTCCTCATTTGTAAATGTGCTATTTTGCAGTTAGAACAATCCACTCAAAGCAAAAACACAAAGCGACAAAGAGCTCTCTTGATCATTAAAATAGCTAAACCGGTCCAGCAGCAACACTTTTGTGTTTGCCTAAGCTTGGGAAGCAGGTCACTGCATATTTTACATTTTCTATTTCTCCATGGACTAGAGTTAGGAGGAAGTGTTGCACCCAATAATAACTTCAGTACTAAATTCCAATAAACTTCGATACAAAATCTTTCAATGACCACATAGCACAGGAAACCAAATGAGCAATAACTTAGTACTTTGACTTCAATTGTTTAGCTGTTTGAAACAGAAACTAAAGCACCTTTTGAAAAACCCCATAAAATATCATTAACAAAACCAACTGCAAAAACTATAGTAGTAAATCCCACTGCAAACAGCAATATCTTTCCCGAATCTGATTGCGGATTCTTACTATTAGCTGCAATTATAATGTCATTGCCTTCATGGACACATCATGATAGAAAATATCCCTACCAATTTTGTTGTCACTAAATAGGTAACAATCATATGCTATTTCAAATTGTAGTACACATAAAAGGGGAAAATTTGACACTACAAATTAGTTGCAAGGACAATGAAAATATGGACTAAAACAATTATGAGCAAATTTTGCGTCCCCTTAATTAAATTCTATGATACTAATGCACTTTTCATGTTGTCATGGCATATATTTGTTCAATCACATAATAAACACGCCCCAAGATAAATTTTGAATATTGTTGTCACAAGTAGAGGGAATCATAAAAAATTTACCCAATGGTTAGCCATAATCCTATTCCTCAAACCAAAGGGGAAGAAAAACTGAAAAACTTCAACAATAAATTAATCTATATTTGCCTGATGTGTGTCTTAGTGACCCATTAATGCCGTAGAGTAAATGCTTTGCAGTTCTATTCTACCCACTCTTCACCAGAATGACATTGAAGCTCTAGAACTGTTGAATAAGATTATGTAACTACCCCTGGAAGCAAAACGTGTCAAGTTCCCTAATTTGGACTAGAATGGCCCCCGCGTCCAAAGCAAACGTTCCATAACAAGTTGCAGTGAGACATTTCACTCATCTCGGGAACCATCCATATGAGCCACAATGATGTGAAAGATTAATGCAGTCGAAAAGTCTTTAAAGCTAACAACTTTTTAATCATCTGTAACTGAAACGACATTTTTCAACAAAATGCAGATGAATCTAAATCCTCATCTCTCTCTCTTTCTCATGACAATGTCAAATCCAAGAATGAAGCATGGAAATTGGGTACACAATATGCTTATTGAAGACATCGCTATTGCACAAAAACACTAAGGTTGAAAAATGAGAATAACAATTTTGAACTGCTTACCATTACAGAAAATAATCCCTCATTTCTTGGCTGAGTTTCAATGGCTTCAACTTCACTTCTTGATTACTTCCCCATAACCTAGGCCATTATAAATGAAGTACACTTGCACAACAAGAAGCTCAGAGAAGAGAATGAAATTACAAACGCACAGGTTACAAAGTCAACATTACACAAACCTAAAAACCTAATCAGAGAACTTGATTCACAAGAAATACCAAAGGGTTAAGAAACTCTCTCTCTCGGGGATTTAGTACGAGGGAGGGGGACGCGGAGGAGGAGACCAAAACATGTCATGAGGCACTTGGCCATTAGGTAGCAAATTTGGAGGTAGATTGTATAAAGGCAAAGATGGTGAAGGGTCGGCCATACCATGAGACAGAGATGATGAATTACCAGACGTTCCTGTATTCACTCCTGACGTCGGCGTTAATTGTATTCCCTCTCCGGCCGGCTCGTCTTCCAGCGGTAGACGCTCATATGTTGCATTCGTAAATGTGGCCGCAATCACCATAACAGGCCCCGAAGCCATCAGTGCACCCACCACCGTTCCGCCCACCACCTGCCCTTGACCACCCGCCAAGTACACTGTTAGTCCGGTGGCTCCAGGCGGCGATGGCGCAGGCAAGAATGCACCCGACAAGGATAATATCTCGAATCTTCCATGAAGTGTGATTACACCACCCGGTGCTGCCGGTTGCCGGAGAGTGACATTGGTGACTATGCCGCTGCCACTGAGGACAGAGACACCGCGGTGGCGCCGCTGTGCGAAGGTGGCTATGCTCTCGACAATGTCACTGTCGCTGCTTATCTCCAATACGTGGCTTCGGAGACAATTGGGACTTTCTTTAGTAATGACAATTGGACGCTTCGGCTTGTTCTTTGAACCCGGTGGTCGTCCTCTGGGTCGGCGTCCAGAACTACCCGGCTCGGAGATCTCATGGCCACCAGGGTTCTGATCTTCGGTTTCGTGCTCGTTCTCTCGGCTTTCTTCTTCATCTGGGTTTTGGGTGGTGGTATTAGGGTTTCGATTGGTGTTGCTGCCACTGCTATTTGTAGCAGTGCTAATGGCGGTGTTAGCGGTGGTGGTGTCCATGAATTCTTGCTCTCTTCTGGGTGCCAGCCGGTTAAATCCACCATTGTCATCTTCTGTGTTGTTCCTCAGGTGAAAGGATGGGGATGAAGACGATGACATTGGGTTCATCGCCACATTACCGGCCCACCACCGATTCGCCATGTCTTCTTTCAACAAAAATCAAGACTACAGATGAAGATTTTCAAGGACCAAAATCAGCTCTTTTGCTACCTTTTTGTGTTATCTCTCTCTCTCTCGACAAATTCCACTACTGAACTTGGATTCACCAACTAGCTCTTTTCCTTTCCATTGGTCTAATTCGACGGAGAGAACTTCCAAATAAGTGCATAAAGCGACCTTGTTAATGTTCTTTTTCTAGTAATTTTACCTTTGTTTGTTTGCTATTGCAGCTTGAGGTCTAAAGAACACAACCCCAAATCCAAGAGATAGAATCCAAAACTTATCTACGTACCTCAAGCACAAAACATAACTCCCGAGCTAGCTGCCAAAATCACACATAACCCGTCTGACTTCTCTTTATTTTACATAGAAACCCTTATCAATATCCTCAGAGTTCAGTACCCAGATCTGAATCTTGAAGCATTGAGAAGACAAACAACTTACCCTGCTCCAAAAATTGAACACCAAGAAGAGATCTAAGGATTCTAACACCAAAAAACCCCCTTGGAACCCAACCCCAAAGCTCAAAGACTCAAACACGTAGCTAGCCACTATGTAGAGAGAGAGAGAATACTTACGAGTAATAATTTTCTTTTCTGATTGTACTGAGCAGAAAGATTTGGAGAAAAAAACTGAACACCTCTACTGCGGATTCAGTTGGTACGGGTTAGGGTTTCATTCTGATCTCCGTTTCTGAAGTTTTTCTCAGTTTCAATCACTTTTTCACTGATAGTGGGTGTCCATTAACTGGGAGCACTACCCAGGCGTACGATAGGATCCAGAATGGTATATATTCGGCATTAAAGATATGGAGACATAATTTATGAATATTATTTGGAAATATAATAAATTGTCACTAATGAAATAATAGTAATTATATTTAATAATAAATTTATTATTATTTTATTAGTGACAATTCATTATATTTTAAATTATATCCATAAATTATATTATTGTTCATATATTCGGTCCTTACCGCCTTTGCAGTGCCCGGTTCTTTGATGTCCCCCTGGTAAACGGTTTTCTGCAGTCAAGGTTCACCGTCCGAGTTTTTGTTCTCTACGCTCTCATCTGCTCGACTGTAAAGTGTGGGCTAATGAACTCGTGACATATAGATTCGGTATGGAGCCGTGGGAGGTTTAAATCCTTTGGGTCCAAAAAATCAATTTTTCAATATAGTAAGTCCTTTTTTAATATGTAAAAACATGAGATCACAAGTGAAAATTATTATTAATTTATGAGGTTATAAATAACTAAAATTTCTAATAGAAAAAAATTATTCTTTTGGTATGATAGTATTTTTATTTTAGTATAAAACAAATTTGTTTCTATTATATTATGGTGTAGTCTGTAGTTATGAAAAGCCACCGGCAATATGGATAAGAGTCGCATTTTTTTTTAATTGAGTCATGTGTTTTAGACAATAACATATTCAAAATAATAACTTTATATTACATTTGTGCCACATTTGTACAAATTAGGAATAAAAAATGTCAAAACAATATTTTTTCTATCAATTAGAACCACCTAATGTAGAGTTTCCATAAATTAAGACCACTTGGCCCTAATTCAAGTAAAATCATTTAAAGATAATCTAATTATATTTGTTTAGCATATGATCTGATATTTTTTTGTTGGTATTATTTTTTATTTTTATCGTATTTAATTATTATTAATAACATAAAATGTTACAGCACATCCAATACACTCTTTATTCTCACTCAATTCTTTAATTTAAGTAGTTAATCATTAAAAAATAATGATGATACACAAAGCATGATCAACAGTCAAGTATACGAACGGGGGGTGCAATAAGTGAGCAATAACAGGTAATTAATAATTAAAGCAGTAAATAAGGAGAAAACACAAAGTTTATAGTGGTTTGGTCCGGGTGACCTACTCCACTCCTGAAAATAGCGATGGTGGTCTAAGGTGTTTTATTAATGAACAATGTCACCGAGAGAGTAACTCTGATGTATTACAGTGCTTTGGAGAGAGAGAAAGTAATGTGTGTAGAAAGATATAGTGTGTGTAGGGTTCTTTAGGTTATGAGAGCATGTCTTCTATATGGAGAGGGCTTACATTATATATGTGTGATAAGGAAGTAACGTGAGAAGAAAAACTTCTACTGTTTTAATAAGTACAACTATAATAGAAGATCTTCGTGCCTATTCAATATTTTCTCCCTCATGTCTCTATTTTGTCGCAGGAGGACTCTCAACTGAGTTGAATTTGATCCTGAACTTAGACTTGAATCAAAGTGACAAAGGGAAAAAGGCAAAGGAGAGGCAGGAGGACCAACTGGGCGACACCCCTTCAGTGTCCCTCTTGGGCAGCGCCCTCTTGGGTGACCCCTTGGGCGGCGCCCCCTTGAGAATGTCCCTTGGCTTAGGCTCCTCCTTGATGTCTAGACTCCTCCTTGCTGACTTGGACTCCTTTCAAACTTCGGTGTGGTAGGTCCCTTGGGGTGGCCTCCTTGAGCGTTGATGTCTTGGTCTCTCTTGACTTGTTGGGATCGGATTGCGTTTTATTGACTTGCGTCTTCTTGATTTATTGAGTCTAATCCAGTTAATTTCGGGCTCATCAAATGATACAAGTACATTATTCATAAAATTCTAATTACTACAAAGGATAATTTGTATTAGAATAGAATGTTCCACTATGGTTGCATAAAAAGTGTTTACTTTTAATTTTAATTTTTCCAAACAGCACTCTATTTTTAGAAAAAAAAAATTAAAAATAGAGTGTCTTGTTAGAGTTGAATAAAAAACACTTATTATTTATTTACACATTTTAATAGACATGTTCTCACAAGTGTCAAAAATATGACACAACCTATAAACACAATACGAAAATTAGAAAATTTGGGTCTTAATTAAGTCGTCCATTTAATAAATAGATAAATTTAATACGACACAATTAATAAACAAATTAAGTATGAATGAAATCAATTAAAAAAAATATACGATATAACTTATTTATATATTAATCATATACGACTTATATGTGATACGAATTTAACACAATTCAATAAATATAAATAAATTAAATATAAGTTAAATATTTTTTTAAACAAAATCACTGAAACTTGATATGAAACCACCTTATATAACATGATTGACATGTCAACCTTAACTTACGTTGGCAGGTGCAAATAATGAACTCTCACTAGGTATGGGTCTATCTGCCTATGGTGTGCGAGGATGTAGACAATTAAACAAGAAGGTCCAAAGTAGCTCTTAGCATTTGGTAAGGGACCTTAGACTTGAGAGAGAGAGAGAGAGAGATTTTGGATGGTGGGTGTGGGGGGTAACGTGCGCATGAGGTGGTGGGTAGTGGGAACACGTCACTGTCTGCAAGTCCCGACAAAGTCTCGAGTGCCAACGTCTTCTTTCTGTCTTGGAACATCTCCCCCCTCCCCAGTCCCCATTCACCAAGAAAAAGAAAAGTGAGCAGTCACTCACTTCCCTGCCGTTCATTTATTTTCTTTGTAAAAATTTTATGCACACCCCTTCTAATTTATCATATTTTTAAAAATATCTTTTTTATTATTCAAAATATCATTAACACCCTTTTCAGTTTCTTGCCATTCAACACAATTTCTAACAAAAAAAAATATATCCTAAACTATCAAAATTATCCTTACATAAACTCCAAATAATTTTTTTACATAAAATTCAATTAAAATTTGAGTAAATTAAAATTATTATTTTTATATATTAAAATTTGAGCTAATTAAAATTTATATTTTTACATATTAAAATTTGATTCAAACTAATTAAATTTTATTTTTTTTTACGTATTAAAATTTGAACCTATTAAAATTTATTTTTTAAGTATTAAAATTCGAATCGATTTAAGTTTAACCTAAGCTGATAGAGTCAATTAAAATTTGATTCGATTCGATTTGATTCTAGTTGATTAAAGTTTATTTTTTTTACTTATTAAAATTTGTGTCAATTAAATTTGATTCAAATTCATTAAAATTCGTTTGTTACAAATGACAATTTGAGTCGATTAAAATTTATATTTTTTTATATATCAAAATTTTGGCCAATTAAAACTCAATGTGAGTTGATTAAAATTTGATTCAAGTCGATTAAAAATGAATTTTAATGGGCTCAAATTAAATTTAATCAACTCAAATTTTAATATATAAACAAATTCATAAAATAGAAGAGGTGTGGATGAAATTTTTCCTAAAATATATCATAGACAATTTTATAAAATTATATTCTAGTTAAGACCTTTAATATAATAAGGGTGTTAGTGAAGAATCAAAAAATATAGAGAATATCCTTAAAAATATAATAATTTTGAAGGGGTGTGATTGATATTTTCCCGTTTTCTTTTTATTTATTGCAACTTTCTTCTTCTTTTTTCCTCAATATCGGTACCCAGTGAAGGTTCAAACCATCGTGTTGACTCGTGGGTTTATTTTTTATTTTTTTTAATTGCGCAGCTTTTTGAACACTTTTTGTTTAACAAAAATACAAATAATTCAGGATAAAATAGCCAATTAAAAATAATTTCTGACATAATGTCAATTTTTTAAACAGGATTGAAAAAAATTTGTATTATATTAAAAGTTATAATCTTTTTTTGGTATAATAGATAACTCCCTTGTTTGATTAGATTTTGATGTGTTTACGAATATTAACGGGGTTGAGTCTTGATCGCATAAATTTTTATTGTACGACTATATATTAAATTAAATTTTATAGTCTAAAATTTGATGCACCTGCAAATGTTGTAAAAAAAATGAGTAGGATATGTGGTGTCATCTCTTACGTGACCAAGGGATTGACATATTTGTCTAGTGATCCTCCTATATATGCACAAATCTGTCGTATATATCGATTCTCTCTCACTACAATTAATAAAACCACTGGCTCAGTTTTATTCTTTAATGCAATGGCTAGATCATAGACAATTGGTAGTAGTTTCAAATCATAATGGACGCAAAAGGTTTTTTTTTTTTT